GAAGGAAGGAAGGAAGGAAGGAAGGAAGGAAGGAAGGAAGGAAGGAAGGAAGGAAGGAAGGTTGGTTCTTGTTATCATGATGTTTAGACACTTCAGAAGATTGTCTTTTGTTGGTAATAAAGTTCTATAAATGCCACATAATTTGTTGAACTTCCTAAGTGTTCCCTCTTAAATGCACAAAATGTTGCAAAAGGGGCTTTTAATATTTTGCAGGAATGTTTGAAAAGCCGTATTGGCTACGCCAACTGCAACATGTGCTACCACTGATTCTCTTCTATCATCACTTTTTACGGAAAAAATTAAAATCCTTGCTATGGGGAAGACCCAAAGTGCAACGGGTTTTGAGGAAGAATTTCAATTCTGGTGTGAGTCCTGATACGAATGGAAATATTGATTCTGAACTCTCTCTCAATTCCATAATTATGGAAATATAGGAGAATACATGAATAACAATTGGGCTGCCATTGCTATGCCTAATTTGGACCAAAAAAACACAGGAAAAGAGAGCTCAACTGCCAAGATTTGTTTAGTTGTTAACTTTGGTACCAGAGAGATTTTCTGGTATACCCACATACATCAATACTGTCTACATCCAAATGGCCAGTTGTTTTTTGTAATGAAAGAGCTGCAGAACCAGCCGTCCGTCCTTCCTTCCTTCCCCTGCATGGGGGGAGAGTTTTGTTGTGTTTTCTCTGAATTAAGCTTTCAGTGTTTGGGAAGTTGCGGCCTGTGGGGTTAAAGGCAGCTGAAGTTCATGGATCTCTATTAGAAGGTCTCCTGGACACTTAGCTGGTTCTGAAAACCCACTGGGGAAGGGAGGCAGGGCTGGCCTGGCTGGCTTGGCTGAGTGAGTACTGGCTTCCTGTTCCAGAGAAGAAAGATTGGGGTTAGAGGTTGGATTTGGCTCCTGCGCTTCTGGTAAGTAGTGGAGCGAGACATGCTTCCTTGAAGAAGGATAGACTATCACCCGCCCTACTGTTTCCTTCTGCTCTGGTAGTGTCTCAGTGATGTCATCTGAGGAGTGAGGATGGTGTGGCTCCTGGTGTTCATGCTTATGTCCATGTTTGTGATGGTGCGGACGGGAATGCTGATGATGGTGTCCGTCCTCTTCATGGTGATCTCTGTGTCTTTCACTGTCATCATGATGTTCCTCCTGCCCAGGTTCAGACCTGGATTGTGGAGTCTGTTCATCTGTAACTGGTGACTAATAAGAGAAAATACAGAACAGTGGCTAAGGGGGTTGTCCATCTCTGGCCTATAGATTGTGCTTACTTATTTTGTGAAATGTTCAAGACAGTTGGTCTTCATAACTTCTGCTCTCTGGGATGCAGCATGGGGCAGGAAGGGAAGACCTTTCTAACTGTGCCTCCTCATGGGTAGATCTTAATTACCCATGAACTTGTTTGTGTACTTATTTAATTGTGTATGGGGGGGGGCATTGTTCAATTGTTTTTATTTTATTTTATTTTATTTT